TTTGTGTGATCCTTTTGAGAAGTTTATTTTGCAGAACAGCATTACAGTTCAATATTGTTCTAACCTCGAGCGCGAGAAAACTCTTTGTCTCGGAGCGGAACAGCATGGGAATAAAAGCAGGCTTACCTGCTTTTATTGCCATGGAGCGGGAAACGTAGCTCTACAAGGGCGGCTGTAGTTTTGGCACACGATCGATTTTTACGGCGACAGAGCCGTTGTATGCGAAGTTTCGCAGAAACTCCTGCAGAGTCGGGTCGTCGAGGCTCGGAAATGTCTCTGCTAAGTGCAGCACAAACATTACTCTTCCACACCTGACACAGTGGCGTCGTCACGTGACATCGCATTACACTGTGACGTCACAAAACGTCATGGTTAGCTGGCAGTGTGATTGCGCGTAATGTGTGTTTAGCTGAATGGGCAGCAGGGTGTAGCGCCACGGCCGTCGTATCACTTCATTTGCTAGACATGGCATGGAACCGACAAGTTTTTTCTTCCACAATGCTTGCAAGTACAACTATCAAACATTCAGTATATATTTGTCAAAGGGAGGTACTGCAATCTTTTTGCGAGAGTTTTTGTTACAAACTTTGCTGTTCAAGAATGTACTGATCTCGAATGCCAGAAAATTTCAGTCGTGGTCCAAGACTGAAGTTCAAGTTCTTTCGCTATTGCGCACACTTGAAGAAAGAAATACTCTTTCCGAAACGTCCGTGTACATAGGCGTAGACTACGGGGGGGGGGGGGGGGGGGGGGGGGGCCATCGGGGCTCGCGCCCTTTGGTGAGATCCGTGAAGGGGCAGAGCCCACCTCCCCCCCCCCCCCCTCCCCCCCGGGCCATGATCCTTACCGAGACGCTGTTTACGTGCCATGTAACGAGCTTCTAGTAGTGGTATGTAAACAAAATAGCGCCCACGTTGCCTTTATTGACAAAATACATGGGAAATGGTATCCCAGCGTGCTTTCGTTAGCTTCAATCTCCAGTTCTGGCGAGAAGGTAACGCGGCATCGATCAATTTTACGTCCGCTTGATCGGCTTCCACAGCAGCCTGCCATTTCGCGATGTCCCGCCAGAAAAAAAAAAAAAAAGAAGAGATAAGTAAAGCAACCGGAAGTTCATATTGCTCCAAAAGTCCGTCTAGTAGCGACTCCGATGGAGTCGCTACTAAAGATTTCAGATTTGTGCTCGCCGGTGCATGCGCCGTGGTGCCGGCGATGAACACACGGCTACGCTTGCACGGTGATTGACATTGACACACAGCGACGGACACATGTCGATATACATACGCTGGAAAATGTACCCCCTAAAATAAACTACTGATAATTGCCGATGTAAAAAATAAAAAAAATAAATAAATAAAAAATTGTGCGGAAACGCCCCCCCCCCCCCCCCCCTCCCCCCGGGAAAAAGGAAAGTCTACGCCGCTGTCCGTGTATATTAAAGTTTTTATTGTTATTCAACTTTCTCTGAAAACTCTTCGAGGTCAAAGACTCTTGAGATTAAACATCCGGCAAGGATGCTTTCCTGCCCACGTTCCCTTATTGTGAAAAAAGTAACTTTACAGGGGCTGCCGCCGGTTTATAGACGCTTTCAGCGCGTGCCAGATTGAGCCGCCATTACCGACCTTTTCTTGTCTTACCGAGATGCCGAGCCACTGAAGCGGGCGTTAACGAGCCTCCACAAGGGCCTATGCTGGGGAGAAGGACACAGTAACATTTAAAATGGTAATAACCGGTCCTACTGTGGTAATGAGGAAGTGGGGCGAACGGAATAATAGGGAACACAAACTGAAGGTCAGTTATGGCGGCGCCCTTGCACAGCTGCCTGAAAGCGTCTATATTTACAATTTTGGCACATGCAGAGTTCCGATTCACTTCTGTGTTCCACGTTTTTCACAAGCCTCCTGCCAATTTCAATCTGGATGAGCACCGTACCGGCGTGCGGTCGTGTATCACTACTGTGTGGTGAACGTTAAAGACCCCAGGCCAGCGGTTGTACCGCGATTGCTAAATTGCTCACCTACAGCTGAGAAAAGTTGCCCGTTGAGGCAGACTAACTTCAGGCTGTATAAACATACACCGACCGATTTTCCTCACAAGTACTTTTATCAAGAATTCCGCAGATTTTTGCCAAAAGATGTAGAGCGATCCTTTTGCAAAGTGTGTGCTACGGAACAACGTTTATACAGCGAGAGGTCGATACATGTCTTCGTATAGATACGCAGAACGGCACGCTACTGCGCAGGCGCATGGAACATCAGAGATACATGGATCAAGAAATATAACTGCTTTTGCAATGGGTCGCCAGCTCGCGCTACCTAGCGAACAATACCTAACTTGTTTTTTTTTTAATGAAGATGATTACAAATGTGGCATGCCAATTCTTAGAGACAAAATATATTGACACATAATATAGCATGGAAGTATATTTATCCGTTAGATAACAAGTTAATATAGAAAGGCTAACTGAGTTTAACTCAAGTCTTGGGTTTGATGTATTTTTATTTTCAAGCTACAGGTTGGCAACATCGCGCTATACGACGACGAGACACCGACGAAAAGCGCCGTATGTGGTTCGGCAACCTTGCCTTTTTCTTTCCTACGAAAAAAAAAAAAAAAAAAAAAAAACGTCCGCTAGACGCCAGGATTACGCCCGCTAGAACGCGCGTAAATTCGTTGAGAATACGCCCTTGCTCGTCTCGACACCCGCTATACGTCGGGATTACGTCCACCAAAACTCCCGTCCAAAATACGCCCTATGGGGTTCGGCCTTGATGAGCTATTCAGTAGAGGACACACACGGCTTTCTTTAGCGGTATACAGAGAGCCTTTCGACATATCATTCAGACCCACCGCGATCATTAACGTTGACGTCAGCCCAAGGCTTCTGTATTCACACGCGCAGTCGATTCTAGTCCCTGCACAGCCTACATCCGTGCGCGAAAGCTCGTGTTAACGAGGCCTCTAGGAAAGTTACGCAGTTACCCGGTACCGTAACACATTACTCTTGAAACGGATGCATTGCAATGAGAAACGTGGTGCAAATATAAGGAGACAAAAATAATCAGGCTCGATCTAAAGTGGGCCGTAAAAGTCGGCGCCTACACGTAACAATCTAAACTTTCCATGAAAGGTGTATTTCACAGGTCGGTTTTATCTTGTAAAACTATAAAGCGTAGCTCCCTTTCTGTAAAAGAGGGCAAAACACTTGGACACAGTCAACGGCGGACGACGACGGAGACGACTGATTCGAGGGGCGGGGCGCGTTTGGCGCACGTATGTATAGATGGCGCTACCTCCTTATCGATAATCGAGACTATTCGCCAGTGGCGTAGCCAGGAATTTTTTCCCGGGGAGGTTGGGGGGAGGGGGGGAAGGTCAGGGGTCAGCTAAGGTGACTGAGATGTCCATGATTTGGGGTGCGGAGGGGGGGCAAGGCATAGGCGCGGACAACGGAAGGGCTCAAAGGCCCGAACTCCCCTCCCCTCCTTCCCGAGCTCTCTGGGAAAGCAAGTGCCACCGCCTCCGGAACCTCTCGGTGCACCTCATCAATCTCATCTGTGCTCCCTGGGGCCCGCACATACCGATAGCTGGCACCCAGTGGATAAATACAAATTTATCCACTCACCAGCTGTGGTCACTAAGTGACCAGAGCTGGTGAGTGGATAAAATTATGCGACTATTCGCGCAGTCCTGTTCGAAGACCTCACGTAGTATAAGCAAATACGATAAAGGCTAGTGCTGGAAATTCCTTCGAAAGCAATAGGATGTAGTTGCGAATGGCGGCAGTGGCACCCCTAGCGGACCTGCAGCCTACGGAAGTAGACGACAAAATACTAAACAACATAAAAAAAAAAAACGGAGGCACGGAACAAGAAGTTCCGTGTCTCTGTTTTATTATTATGTTTTTTTTTTTTTTTTTATGTTGCTTTATATTCACTACCTCGCCTGTGCCCTAACCCTTCTTTCACACACAATACTTTTTTTTAAGCCTCATTATGTTTTCCCAGAGTTGAAACAATTCGTAACGGTCAGTGCGCTTGAACCACAGAATTCAGTGATTACAACTGCATTAACAGCTAAATTATAGTGTCAGAAAAGCAAACATTTGTTTAGGTATCATGCAGTCGGCATGCTTATCCTGCGGTATTCAGGTGATTACACACCTTTTTTTTGGGACGTCCCCGAAGGGGGATTGAGAAATTTCCACCTATGGTTAAAAATGCATGTTATAGGGTCGGCTGGAATTTAGGAGGGCTCGAGCCCCATAACCTTCCCCCTTCCCCCCCTTTCCGGCTATGCCACTGCTGCTCGCGACCACCGTGACATGGTGACTGGAACGCGTCTCCGACTGGTGTGCTCACCGCGTCCAAAAAAGTGGTCTCTCGATTTCCGCCTGCTGACGACAGAAAAGTGCCATGCGGTCGCCGGCCGCGATCTTTACGATGTCGCTGCGGCGTTGGCGGATGTGGCAGACTTTGTGTCGGGCGGCCACTTGCGCCAGATGACCCACGTTTAGTTTCGGTTTCGAAAGGCGACCGAAATTGTTGTTTTTTTTGGCGCAGGTTACCCATATTTTGGCAAAATGTAGCAGGGTTAGCCCCTTGGCACAGTTTGGCGCAATTGGCGCAGCAATCACATCACTGTATAATACGCTTTTAAACGCTGTTGCTAACGGTTTGAACCACACGAGTCACCGCGCTCCGTTATAAGATTTCTGACCCCGCGGTCGTAACCCTCGTACGCTAATGGGAGATTCTCCTGGTAAATATGGAGCGATCCAAACGCGCTGTCCTCGCGCCTTTACAGCGGTAAATGCCAGCGCGTGCTTGCATCTGCGAGAAGGTACAAACAAGAAATAATTTCCAAAGCACTCGAAAATCTACCAGAGGAATTCCCCCAAGAGTCATGGTCAATCAAGCCAACCTGAAATGGAGCGCACGAAATGGTTGAATTTTAAAACACGGAGTCGTGCAAGCGATTAGATGAGCTACAACACAAGCTAAATGATAAAAACATCCACATTTATTTTCAAAAATCAAACTTTTCTACATGACTAGTGACAGAAGAGATACGAATGTGACTCTCTTGTCAGCTTGATTCACATAGAACATAATCACTTCAGTAAATAAATAGTGCAACACATATGGAAAGCAAAAAAAAAAAAAACACAAAAACATTGTTCATTTAGGTGCACATAAAACGCTCCTTTGCTGCACACGCAAGTTTGACGATCGAGACATTCTGCTGACCCCCAGTAATTTCTTTCCCGTAATAGAAAGTCAAAGTTGTGAGTATTCTGATTAAGCCCATTTTTTTTTAACTTTTTACCTCTTCACACTAACACGACAAAAAATAACACCTGGAATATAAAGAGAGTAAAAGTTGTTCAGCCATGTACATTCTGATGTATGGGGAGGAGCTTAAAACATAATAATGCCACTGAAAAAAAACCAAAAACGTCCCTACACTTTGTGTCACATTGCAGTAGTCGTGGAGGGAGCCAAGGCTATAAAAGCAAACTTACAGCTCCTACTGACACAGATCTCGCTTGAGCAGCCAGGAAACGCCCAAGACCGAGTCTCTACTCACAGTCTTTGCACCATTACTACTTTAGGGGTCAGAACCAAGAATAAAGAACTGCCTGAATTCGCGGTACAAAACTCGATGAAATGATGCTGCCGAGTTCCACGCAAGTCACATTCTTCAAAGATTCTCCCACACGTACGAACGCTACACATGCTATTAAAAATGTACTGACGGTACATACCTATGCATACAAAAAATTACTGAGGTACACGAAAATGAATATCTGCTATGTTTACACGGTCAAGGACAGCACAGATAATCCCTTTAAACACCATATGCTGACTTTGGTCTCGTGATGTATTAGCGCTACTTAGAACATTCAGAGGATACATTAAAATTAGGGGTTCATACAAGCCAACAAAAGCATGAAACACCTTATGTGACATTTGAATACAAATGTGAGAAGTCTGGATAAGCTTCCACAGCATGTAACTAGTTGTGAAACACAATAAAAAGGTTTACACAACATGCACACATTAATCACATATTTCACAATTTAAAAAATAACCACAAGACAAGGAAAAAGAAATATCTTGCAGTGGGAAGAATTTATACACTCTTAAAAAAATACATATATACAAAATTTGCCACTCATTTACGAAGGTACAATGACCATGTCAAATGACACTAGGCATACAATTTGCAGGATGTCCACGTACATACCAGCTTCGAACAAAATTTAGTTTCTTTATAACATGATGAAAGATGGGAAAGCAGAAAGTGCCTTTGACCACAGATACAGTATTCTAGAAAGATTAACTTTAAAAATCCTGCAAAAAATCCTCAAAATGTTTCAGGGCTGGCAGTTCCTTCCTCAATCATTCATTTGCATGCCTCAACAAGAGGCCACCAGCCCGGAGATAATTCACAGCTCAAACAAAACAAACAATGCAGGATCTTCAAGGCTGATTCTATTTTTTAACTCTATTAATCACTAGTGTTTCTACCTGTGTGCAGGTTTGGTTTTTGGTACAGTATGAATAATCACTTTCATTCGTAACATGACAAAAATAATGTGGCATATATTAGATGGCGGAAGACTTAAACAAGCAGCTAAGACCGTAAATATTAAAAAAGGATAGTCCCAGGAATGCTTAAATCATATATATGGGTCTACATTTTGACAGGCATGGAAACATTTTCACAAGACCAACATCTATACTATCCAAGTAATCGCTGGTGGCAGATTAAACTCTGATGCACTCAAATGCATTGAGCCAGGTTATTATGAACTGACAGAAAACACAGCTATTCATTTTCTAATTAGTACGATTGAGCATATATTCATCTTGACATTCCTTCCAACTAGTTGTGCTTGAATGAGGAATGATCCCGAAAGCACAGTATAAAAGTGTTGACCCAGCTACTATTCAGAAATGTAGAAACAATTGTAGCCAGAACTAATTTTGCATGATTTACAGTACACATTGAAAATCTTCACACTTTTCAAAAGGTGCTATCTTTGTTCAAACAAGTCTCAATACTTCTACAGGTACATTCTCTTAGCCTTATATTAAATAGATATGAGAGCTCAAAAGATTACAAGTGACCTAAAAGAATATATCACATTCCCTCATTCTTGGGAGGCAGTGATGAATGGAATCTCTAGTCCCATCTTGCAAAAAGAAAGATTCAAATCCAAAAAAGGTGCTCTGTATCATCTCAATTCTTCAATTTGCAGAAAACCCTTAGAAAGTTGTAGTACAAGATCTTGTCACCTTCCTCCCTGTCAACTGCCATGCCAGAAACAAATTTGCTATTAAACCAGTGCTTTAAATGAATCCGACACAATGCAGCAAGACAGGGTAGGATTCCCATTGTACTGAACACTTCAACATTATGCAGCTAGTACATACCTTGCGCCAGTAATGAGCGTCAGAAATTGCGGCTGCTGCCATCACTGTTTTAGCACGGCAATAAATGTGACCACACCAGGTCAAGCCAAGACCAACCACCAAGTCGAGCAAGATGACACCACACGCACGGGTGCATACCACAATCTAAATGCCCTAGGCAGAGGATACCTCAAAGTTCACCCCACACGCACGTTTGCAACATTCTTAGGCAGAGAAAACCTCCAACTACATTCCACACCCGCGTATGCGGCATTCTTTTAGACAAACCCACTTCCAACTGTTGTGCGCTAGCACAAAAGGTTCCAATTCCCGCGCAATGTTCCCATTCTGGTGGCACCCACTAAGTCATCCGGTAATCCATCGAGCATTTGTATCCCTGTGGAAACTGGCAGAAACTCTTTGAACACGGTATCCTGCCCTCGTTAGAAGTGGCGAGAACACTCCTTGTATGAGGCGTCCTGCCTCTGCTTTTGGCAACGTCCTTCGACTGTTGGCGATTTTCCCGGTGCTAGTGCATCCCGTTTTGAGGAGACTCCCTCAGAAGAGCGTGATGAGGGCAACCTGGGTTCGGCGTGGCCGTTGAGGGGTCAGTGGCGCCATTCGGGGCCCTGGAACCTCCGGCTCGCCAGTTTCGCCCAGGTCTGGAGCGGATGTCAGTGCCACTTCGCCTTCTGAGCAAATATGTCCGCCCGTAAATTTTGAGCGAAACATATGCCAAGGATCTGTCCAGTGGGTCAGGGAAAAGGGGCAAGGAGAAAAGAGCCAGATGAGTGGACAATTTGGACCGCTCACGCCAATGGGCGCACAAAGCAACACTGCAAGTACAAATGATTGATCTGAGATTTCTAGAATTTCTCTGTGCTGCTCAGGTACGTATTACTATGGAAAAACATGTAGTGAAAGCTGAAATGTGCAATGCCAGTTTGAACAATATATTTTCTAGTAATCGAAACTAAACTAGTAGGTACAATAAGAGTCTGATTTTACACTCCTGTTAATGGCATCATGTGTTGTGAGTATGTGGCACTCTTAACCTGCCTACAATTATTCTAAGAGTGGTGTTGGTGACGCCCTAGCATCCAAGAGGCGATCCAGAAACTGCCCCAAAGACTGTTGCCACCTACAGTTGGCTTAAAGGACACAAGCAAAGGAAAAAAAAATTTTTTTTTTTTTAAACAGCCTTGATGGAAAAAATGTTATAAAACAAACTTACAACGAAGAAAAAATTTTTTAGAGATATATATACGGCGTGAAGCGAATTTGTAGTTGGCGCCCACTGCTGGTCAGATGGTAGACCTGTGCGCAGCCGCAGCAGCAAAATTATGCCGCCACTGCCCACAGTGCGTGGTGCGTCGACGGTTGAATGCATTTGTCCACGCCGCTGCCACCGGAAGGGAACACTCCAGCGCGCCGCTGCTGTCAATTTCTGACCAGCGCACAGGTCTATCTCGCTTGCGCTCTTCCAGGAGCTTCTTTTGGGCTCTAAAAGTTAGTTATTAACCTTTGTTTTTTGTTGCACTTCAAACGAAGATGAATAAGTAACTTTTAGAGACCATAGGAAGCTTCCGAAAGCGCGCAAGCACCATGTGATAAATAGCGGTCAATTCGTTTTGAGCCATAAATATAGCTCCAAAAATTTTCTTGTTAGTTCTAAATTCGTTTCCTGACATCCTTTTCCCATCCAAACTGTTTAAAATTTTTTTTTTATTTGCATGTGTTCAATAAAAAACCTTGTGTGTGCAAGATTGCCCTTGAACTGTTAGTGATTAAAGTGGCACTGCCAGTCTCAAAATCCTTACCATTTTATTGTCTGAAACTTCAAAATAATGTCACATAAAAAAGAAAAAAATTGCAGTCCACAAAAATATATTTTAGAACATGAGAATGCGTTTCCTTTCTTCTGCCTTTGCAATGACAAGCAGCAAAGAAACTTGGAGGAATCGCAACATATATTTTTGTAACATTTGTTATTGATATTTATAAAACATTTTTTTTACGGCTCTTGCAAGTGCATTGTGACACTTTCTTCCAAGATATCGAAAACCAAGCCCAGAAGATATTGAGTGCTCAGCCAAGTTCGATTCGGTGCCATATGGTGATGTTTTACTGAAAGCTGAATGGCAATTTCCGACGAAGACGGAAATTGTGCGAGTGTTGGAAGTGCACAAGTGGTCATGTTACGTAGAACACTTTAAAGAAGAAAACAGCAAGGAGGCACCATTGTATATATTAGTGACTCTCACAAGAATCTATATTTTGGGCTTCTGAAATTATATTTTTTGTTGTAAGTATGTAGCTTCTAATCTTCAGGTTGTGTGGCTGATCTGTAAAAACAAGTTCCAATCGTTTCAGCCAATAAAAAAAAAAAAAAAAAAAAGATTTTGGAGTGTAGGAGTTTGGAGGATTTTAAGAAAAAAAGAAATGAAAGCCGTTTACAACTTACTGTAACGCCAAATTAGAGCGCAGCTTTTGAGGAGGAGGAGGGAAGGGTACTGAGGGTCACGTGTTCTCGAGGGAAGGGGGGGAGGTGGGGGTCACATGACCTGGGGGAGGGGTCACGTGACCTCGGGGGGAGTCACATGACCTTGGGGGTCACATGAACTTGGGGGAGGGGGTCACATGACCTCACGGTTACGCCTACGGCGACGGCGACGCCGCTCAAGCCAGAAACGGGTGCCTAAGAGCTGCGCTCAAAAACTCACTTGCGTGAAATACCGGGCAAGCGCCCACTGAAACTTTGTAGATAATCGCTAAAAAAAATGGGGGATGGGCACTTGTCCGGTCATCAATTTTACATATAAATGTACTGTGCATACTTTCTCAGATCTTACAAATTTGGTAATGAGCGCTTGATGGGCGGATGCGCGGTATTCTACGGTAATCTGATCTGGCACAAGGTAACTGTATATTGCAATAACAAAAATCTGCTTTGGCTAGGGACTTGGAGCAGTGCTGTATTTGATACCAAAACGTAGTAGTTTGCTGCTTATGGGGAAAAATTAACTACAGAACTTAAGAAGGTTTGCGGGATATGAAAAGGGCTAATTCATATTTCTTTATTTGTTACAGTACCCTCAGGAACCGGAGGGCACTACAGAGGGGAGTAGGCAACTGAAACAAAAAAATATTATCCCTCACATGGGTGAGCTGGCGGTTTAAGACAGAGGAGACTCGGCAAAAAAAAAAAAACTGATGTGTGAATCGATCGGTCATTACAGCGGGACCGATTTCCGACTATGCAGAGCACACGCAGCTTAATGCTCAAGGTGCAAGCTCGTGGTGCTCACATGGCATGCAATCGCACAGCACGCAAAATTAGGCAACACAAACTCAATCACTGCATAGCTGACCCACACTTCGACGAGACAAACGTCTCCTTTCTTGATGCTGTCACTTTATGAGCCTAAATGGCCAGCTTCCTGCATCACCATGTTTGATACTTTGCCTTTACTTCACGTGAACTTAGACATAAGATCCAAGAGGCCACAGAGAAACCAGGCCATCTACATGTTGTATAAAATTTAGGAAGCCACACGTTTAGAATGTTTGCTCCATAAGGTGTTTATGGCATTTTTGATTATTTATTTATTTACTGTTACAACCACAGCCTTGTATCCAGAGACTCAAACCAAAATATGTAATGTTTTAATTAAAATTACCGTTTCCTGTTAATATTGTTTTTGTTTTTTTTTCGGTTTTAATTTTTACGCTTGCGGTCACCAAATATGCATTCCTAAAACCTTTTTTTTTCTTAATAATTTGTTTTATTGAAATGCTAGACAGCCATTTTATAATAAACTGTTTAAAGTAGTCCCAAATATCCAACAACAGGAATTCCCAATAACAAAAACTCAAAAACATCCTAGCACTTCTAATTGGTCAAAAGTTGCACTCGTTTCTAGGTCCAACACTTGTTCACTACATCTATTTGCACTATATAATCTGATACCCAAGCATACATGTTATCCCCGCTACTCGGAGAACATCACTTTCTATATAATAAAAATAAACATTGCTGCTTTGTTACTCGGCAGTGTTCACAAACAACCTTCAGAAAGTTCCTACTGGGTGCTAAAAGAACCATTTGCACCTTCTCGTCCGAGGGTACCCTTGTCGTTGCTAATACTAACTGTCACATGACAAAACTTGCAAACAAGTTGCTACCCTAAGCAATAATTCTTTAATATCACTGCATCACCTCAAGATCACCGAGATGCTTTTGATTCCTTTTTAAACTTCTGACGTTCAAAGCCCGCAAAAAAAAAATTTCTTTATCACAGATCCAGATGCGACTAAAAGCGCCGCAATAATGCGGGGTGAAGGGGGTAATATAGGAACTTAAGCTGCCTCCACCCCTCCATACAGAATCTATGGGGTCACAGCTTTGACTCAGAAATAAAATGATCCCAACAAACATTGATGAGATAAACCATCCTTCTTTTTCAATAGTTCGAGATCTGAAAGAAAACTGTAGTGCACCCCCCTCAGGACCACTGATCGACCTCGAAAATCTGTTCTTTTAGATAAACCCAAATGACAAACAATTTAAGCTCGAATTTTCTCAAACTCTTTTTTGGTTTTATTTGAAAAGATGAATGAAATCCTCGTTACAAGTTTTATCCTGAAAAATTTCCGAGACCACTTTTTTACACCGGCACCTCCAAGGCACTTCCAATCTGCCCTTTTGATTTCCTGAACCAGACCACATTACCAACGACAGCATTTGGGCAAGATAATATTTTTGACCACAGTACCGACCAGGGGCCCTAACCTACACGGCGGGACCTAGCTGGACCGGGGCATCGCTGCCTGCTGCGACTGGTCAGCGATGCGGAGCTGACCAATCACAGCAGGTGGCGATGTCCCGGACCCTCTGTCCCACTTGGTCCCGCCGTGTAGATTAGAGCCCCTGTATGACAAAACACAATACGGGCAGAGTAATACTTTCGCAAGACTTCACTCCTTTTTGCCACAGCTTGACTCGCAGTTGCTCACCACTGCTTTACTCACTGTTGCTTGTTCCTTACAAGCAATTGTGTAACAATCACACTGTCCCAACTGGTGGTACAAGAGGAATGCGTCACCGTCAAGGAGGAAGAGGGCAGCGAGCAAACAACTTCTCGGCATGAAAGGAAAAGAGCTAAAAGACAGCTGGCATAGAGAAGTAGAACAAGGGAGACAGACCAACCTGAGCAAAGGCAATAATTAAGAGGGCTCCCGAGAGGGGAACCAGGTTCACCTCTAACCACTCCTCCCCCACCAGAAGGCAGCCCTCCTCGTAAACAAGGCTCGCCCGCTTGGACTTGTCCTACGAGCACGGCAGATGCTGCACACCTCCCGGCCGGGAGACCAAGAAACCAACTTCCCCCCCACTCCGCTAACCGCTGCCACCGTCACTTCGACGTGGGACCGAATCCAAGAAGCAGCAGTGTTAGGAACCCACTTTCGTTAGTTGGGTACAACCAGGCAGTCGGCCAACACACCGCAACACAAACAGATGAAGCGTGGGGGAACACAGGAAGCTTGAGGCTACCCATCAGCAAGTGTCGTCCTTCTAGCCGGGATTTGTATAAACAACTTTGTCATTTGGAAAAGAAGGTTGAACCCTTTTTTATATTTGAGATATGCTAGTGCAGAAGAATAAACCAGATGGATCGCTTTGAGATTTCATCTTATAAAGATGGGAATATACTTTGCATGGGCCAGGAGATGAATAATGAATTAATTAAATGTTGCAGTCATGTACAATAGGCTGCGGAGGAAGTAGTCTCATAGCAGCGTCTGGAAAAGTACACTGTAACATTGATGGCCAGTCCTGACTCCCAACATCCAAACTTCCCAAGATAGTGCAAGATTTGTGAAAGGTTTTGGTGGAAAGCTCTAATGGCGTGTTCACACTGGAAGCGGATCTGCATTCGCGAAGCGGATCCGCGCGTTCTCAACCGCAAAGCGGCTAGGATCGAGCGGTGGGAGCGCGTTTTTTCCAACCGCTTTGGGACGATTTCTCCCAACCCCATTCACGAACCGCAAAGCGGCAACCAATCACAACACGACGCTGACGTGACGTCAGTGACTTTCAAATTAAGATGGCACCTGTCGCTGGTGAGTCATCCAAGGCGCTGTAGTCCTAGCGCTGTAGTCTTAGCTTTCGACAAATCAACGGAGAAAATTGATGTTTACGTCCGTCACTTGAATCTGCAGCGAAAAGAATTTACTCGTAGTTTTAACGGGCTTCGCACCGGTGATTTGGTTTGGGTAAGAGTTTGTTTATTATTCCAGGTGCCACAGCCCAAGCTCGCTGTCTTGTTAATCTCTGCCTGTAGAACGCCGGGACTCGGAACCCGCCCCTGATCGACCGAAATGTCAGCTTTTCTACCCACTAAGATAGTCCCGTGAACTATTGAAAGCTTTCGACACCGTGCATGATCACCACGAAGGCCGATAGAGACGTCGTGAGCCTGATTGCGTAGCTAACGTACTACCGCGGAGGGGGCAGGGTACCTGCGCTAGCTTGACCTGTAACGTTTACTACTAATAAAATAAATAAAGGGAACCTACTCAAGGAATAAAGTCTACGTACCAGACACTGCATAGGTAATTCATACGGCGTTTATTTGAGCTTAATGTCAAACAAACAGTAGACTTGGTCGACGAGCGAGTGACGAGAGGAGAGTCCGCCACCAACGAAGCCACGACCGGCTAGCACCGAACACATTCCACCCTACCGCTCACAACTTCGAAAATGATAAGAGCGAACAACGAGGAGGCAAAACTGGCCCTCTATCCCGAAAACAAGGTCAGCTATTCATGCGGGAAGGGTCCACTTCGAAGAAAAGGTCGGGGGCATCCTGTTCTGAGTCAGCAAGGCGCGCCTAGCTGGGCTTTGCTTGTGGGCGAAGTCGAGGGAATCACAGGCGAGTTTGGCGGGTCCATGCTTCTTTTTTCGCTGCCTGAACTCGTGATGCGTGCGAACACCCCGGAGAAAAATATTCCGAGTGCCAAAATAGCAAAACTTTGGCTTTGGATCTTGAATTAAAGTGGATTTTGGATTGCAAAACAGGGTTGCCAAACCCAAGTCTCAAAAGGTAACGCGTGATCACCGAGAAACCGCCAACCGCCTCTCGGTGTGTCTGAACGGGGTCGCTCGCGAACCACATCCGCGACCGCTTCGCGAACGCTGATCCGCTTCCAGTGTGAATGCGCCATAATGGAGCCTCATGATGACCAAAATGTGAAGCCTACCACCGATTAGGTGCTCAGAAAAATAAACCCATCTTAGCATATAGATGCATGAAGAGAAACTCATACAATCTGCTCGAGCTGCTAGAAATAAGTAGCCTTTGGAGCTAACTAGACATTTGGTTTGAGCTAGCTGAAAGACTCACTGTGCCTGACACTGTATAATCACCAGTTAAGCACTGAACGAATTTGAAGACTAAAGCCATCCGACACTTCCTGCTCAACCATCACCCAATAGCGACACACCTAGACACAGCAGCAATTGGATATCCCCCGCTCCAGCATTGCTCAATAGCAGCACAGAATCCTACAAAACACGCATACACCTGTATCCACCGGAACTCCGGCCAACCGAAGCTTGCGAAAAAAGCCCCTTTCCATACACTGCCAATAACCTCATACTGAATGGGAATATGTTGCAAACACTGCTGTACATAACACCGCAGAACTGCAGTACTGAGCAGCGTGTCTGCCGGTTCGTCTGACTGGTGGCATATACCAGAGACTGCCTAGGGAGTCTACCATCATGCCAGAAAGTAGAAAAGCAGAAAACACCCAAGTTTGGGAGTAGCTGGGTTGGAACACACAGGAGAGGGAAAGTTAGTGAGGAGCCAAGGAAGGGTAGGAAAGGGCAAGAACGACACAACACACACGGACACGCAGATGCACACATAAACTGCACGCAAGACAAGCAAGAGTGCAAGGCCAGTGTACCTGCAACACAGCTAGTCCCACGGCAACCCCAGCAACTGGGACCAGGTTAGCTTCGATCCACTCCTCCCCAGCTCGCAGACAACCCTTCTCATAGATCACGTGAGACTTGTCCCGTTGCTGACAGGGGACCAAGCACACGTACCACCATTAGTTGCGCTCCCTCGTTCCAAAAAAAATGTTACTATTAGGCCTCCCCCCGGAGGCAGGCACGCACGCCACAAGCCCCAAACCATGCACGCCCGCACAAAATAGGCTTGACAAAAAAACAACCAAGCTACACGCATTCGCTGTTGAAGAAATAAATGTGGCAGTCACCCCGGCCCCGGCCTCTAGATGTCACCGCAGGACAAGTATAGCACGTTCGGGGTCCCTTTCCTGACCATCGTGGGAATAGTTTGCTAATTACCGTATTTACTCGAGTAATAGCCACACTGCTCATGAAGAAAACCTGAGGGTTCGCTTTTCCGTGAGGCATGCGGCTTGCCAGTCCCCGCGATCGGCAGCATGATTCCAGCGGTTTACAGGACAGAGATAACGTCTTCGCGCGAAGATACCATATGTGAAGATCGCATTTGTATGAAGAATCATGTTCTCGATCTTGTTATTCGCTATGTTATTTTTGCGCAAAGCGATGATTGACTGTATATATGTTCTGTGGGAAAGCAGATGCAAGGGCCTTGTTCATAAATAGTGCGGCTGTTACTCAAGTAAATACAGTATAAGATACAAATTCAAATCTCAAGAAAAAAATTAGATATAGAAGGACAGGCACGGAAAGCACGAGAGATGCGCTGTCTGTCTGTTCTTCTATATTTAATTTTTTTTCTCAGGTTTTTACATTGTAATAGTCCACTCACCTCAAGAAGTAAATTCTAATCACCACACTTATTTGTTCCACACTGTCTGCATGGTCTTTCTGAACGCGTTTACAAATTATTAAAACAGTTGTCAAAGCACCGAAACCTCAATGGGCCTTTCCCGTAAATGTTCAACACCATCTACCGGGAAAATAAGGAGAGTTTTTGATGCCATTCTGAAAAGCTTTAACAAACTATTTTGCCTGTATTGTTTATATAAACAAGGATGAAAGAACATTGTGGCGTGTTGCAATTAGAACGCCGAGCTCCCCTGGTCCTGCACTGTTACCGACTGCCAACACTGTTCTGTAAGCACCACCAAAGATGGCCGACAGTCGCATCTGCAACCACCAAGCAGGGGCATAAACAATCCCGGAAAAGGCCCACTGCTGCTCAACACAAAAGCAAAGAAACATAACTTTTTTCTCCTTCCCCAATTGTTGTTATTGCAAGTGGAATTTCACTATTCATTGAGGTTCTGGAAAGAACAGCTTTGTGCCATGTATGCGAGCCAGGAGGTGTGCCAATGAAGCACTTAATTTCCTTACAGAACAGGAAAGCATATTTTAACTGGTACCAAAATATTCTCATTATCTGCATAAATCCACAGCACAACACAAGATTACAGAATTTTCTTATTAGCGCCGCTTAATAAATAAATATGGCAAACTCTTCTAATAAGACAGGCCCCATGCAACTAAAACAAAACAGCATGCATGCAACGAGACATGGAAAACTCACGTAATCGGACCGTCGCACATCGTAACCACACTGTTTGTTCTTTATCAACTCCTGAAAAAAAAAAAAAAAAAAAAAAGTTACACCTTTATTACAGAGAAGCAAGAAGAAATGAGCCGCATATACTCCACAATGACCTTAGCAGACTAAGGAGTACAACAGCAGAAGACACTCACATTGGGCTGTCTCTTGCAGCACGAGAAAGGGACACCACACGCCTCACGGCTTCCAACTTCAACGCTCGAGCAGTTAAAGTAGATGTTCATGTCCCAGTCCTTCGGGCCTTCAATTCCACAGCAGCCAAGCTACAGCACACAGACATTTCATTAAGAAAGATTGCATAAATGTAGAATACATTCACCGTTTGAAGTGGTCGCCCAGGGACCGCTACTAGGTGCTATAATCTGGTTCTTCCCCGTTGGAATAACTTATTCGTTGTCCCTGCACTGCTATATACACACAAAAAACGGCTCACAACTCTTCCTTTATTACAATGCACTAGATATTTTGCAAAGTGATTAGAACACCACAAGGCAGGCTAAGACTGCGGAAATTTCATTATATGCCAAGGATATTCTTAAAATAATACTGTCTCAGAGAACACTTCCAAAACCTCAGAGAGTTTTTAGCACCCTTCTGTGTACCTTGATCTGAAGTCCTTCCTAACAGCATCAAAGAGTTGAACCAATTGAGTTCCACGCAATAAGCTAGAGTTATTGTGAGTGTTTATAGCACTACTTTTTTTATACAAAAAAACAAAAAGGAGAGGAGCAGAGTAGAAGAGTCCACACTCACCCACTGCTCCTGAATCCAGTCAATCAGATTCTGCCGGTCAGGGTCATCCCTGTAGAACACAATGAAAGCCTGGAAGCCGTTCGTTGCCTGAGACTTGATCTGCAGAGAGGGAGCCAGACAGGACACACACATGAGTGCACTTTGGTACCTGAGCTTCACTACACTAAACAGAGTAAAAAATTAAAAAAAAGGAAGCAGCTGCAGCAAAGGTGGCAATGCTTACCCAATCTTTAAAGATGAATCCCAAAATGCCTGCCGTCATTTCTAGCAGCAACAAGATCGCCAAGAATATGGCGTACTGAAATGGTAGAGAAAAGAACATACATTAGGAAATTCGCTGTGAAACCTAAAGAGTAATTAACTTTTAGTATCCCATTATTTTCTAGCTTTAACCCAACACTGCCCCAAAAACAAAGTAAAAAAAAAGGCCTGTTATTAGGGCAAGCTGGTACATGATTTCTAGAGAGTCCCAGAATCACAGCTTAAAAGTATGTTATTTTATAAATATTAAAGTTAAAGTATGCAAAAATTTTTACATGACTAGCTTCAACAGAATCATAGCAGAAAGTAGGCATTCTTCCATGCTTTCCACAAACGTGAGGCAACTTTGGTGGGCCCTAAAAATTTGTGCAACACTGTGAGCAAACTAGAGATAAATGAAAGAATGACACAACACGAATGTGACATATTTCAGGTTAGTACTCATGTTTTCACCGTTTACCTTGCACAAAATTGCTTACCAAACAACTACAATAGTGTTTACGATACTCTCAAGCCGGGAACACATTTGCGAAAAAAACCCTAATTTTGTGCGAAAACCGCACACGAAAATCGCACGGCAGCTAGGCTCCTCCCCTTTTCCGAAAATCGGGAGCGGTTCGAAAGATCTGCAGCGCCAGATATTTTCGCACGGCGCCTCCGAATTCGGGGCGGAGGAGCTCGGTGAGCGAAAGCCCGGAACAGGACGGAACGAAAAGATACGATCGGCTCGCAACATGGCGGCTCACGCAGCTTCGGAAGCAGCGCAGGCAACATCGTATGCCATCCGTGCGTTCTCAACTCAGCCTTCGTAGAAAACCCCTTCTGTCTCTATCAAAGGGTGGTGGTACAAAGGCTCGCGTGGCATTGAACGAGGTTTTAATAGCTGAAGTTTTTAAGAGGCGCGAAATATGGGACGCGAGTTCGTCAGAGTACCGCACAGCCTCCTGAAGTCGGAGCACGAAAACCGCAGTGCATTGCGATTTCCGCGCCGCGCATTCCACCTCATGTGGCTCGTCTTTCGAAAATCGCAAGCTACGATTTTCGCAGCCTCCGATTTCTCTCCGATTTTCGGTTCGTTTTTTCGCAAATGTGTTCCCGCCTTCACCATATATTTGAGATCTTGATGAAAACCATACGTGGATCAAAACACTGGGCACTTCTACAGCTCACTTAACTAACATCCCATTTGTGTGGTGGCACTTTTGTCTTTATGAACGTTTATGGATTCCGATTTATTATCAGGCACATGGGATGGACGGGGCCTTCGATTATTTGATGTGACCTTGCCATTCAACATTAAAATTGCTTCCCACGTAGCATCAGCAGGGACCGGAAAATACTCACAGCAGCCAGCAAGCAGGTATTTTCTCTCAAGGCTCCGACGCAGCCGGTGAAACCAATGATGAATGTGATGCCGCCAATGACAATGAGGACAAAGGCAGGGTCCAGGGCAATGTTGGTCAGCCGGCTCAAATTATTGAAGATGTCTTTCTCAGTCCAGGCCCAAACACCAACCACCATGATGCTCAGGCCCATCAGCTGGGCAGGACACAGAAAAATGTCAAAACTTCCCTCTGTTGCATCCATTTTCTGCAGCTTGAAGAGGCATCAACACCAGCCATTCACATCGCTATTGAGTTATGTGGCTATCAAAAATAATTAAAAGTTGAGATAAGTTAAAGGAACTAAAGTGGAACTTGAGACCATCTTTCTACGGTGCAACCTCAGTCTATGCACAATAAGCATCCTAGAAAACCAAAAATTAAAATTATGCGTGGCTTTTTCACTGTTGAAGATGCCAAGAGACATTCTGACATACCCTTTTTCTGAGAAATACCCGAGGAAAGGGGCATATGCAATGTTTGGTCACATTTATAATAAGAAAAAAGGGTCATGCCTGATTGTACTTTTTGGTTTTCTAGGATGCTTGGGGCATATAGATTGAGTTTCCACCATAAAAAGATGATCTCAAAATCCCTTCTAAAGCCCCTTTAAGTAAAAGAGGGACACAGAAATCCTTTCCTGTGTTTTTACAGATAGTGTGAGTATCCCTCTTCCTATGCATCCTCTTTTTTGCTTTCCTTGGAGCAGATTTTAATTATGATTGCGTACCACCAGCTCGGCTGCATACTTACTCTGAATTCAGTTGTGTTCCTACAATTAGAGAGATTCTGTAAATTGCCAGAAAAAGCCAGGACTGTCACAATAATGAACTACTTTCCTGACATCACAATTGACCTTTTTCAGAATTCGTTGAAGCGACCGTGGCACACCCTCGTGGAGATAATTCAAAAACGTTTGCGGGCTCAGTCAGCTCAGTCCGTCCTCCCGTCACCCCATTCGCTTCCTAGACGCGATCGTTTTGGTGCGTTCGTTGTGGAAAGTTTTTCTCGCTGTTTTCCGGCTGTCGTTCTCTACAAATGGCTGATGACGATCCCGGAGGATCGAGTAAAGCAACCGTCTTTGACACTTCATACTTTATCCGTCTGTACGCTTTTGAAGACTGATGGAGTGCCGATGCTGCATCGGTACCGGTCGTCAACACAGCGTACGTCGATCGGTACTTGGCGAAGGACTGCAGACAACTCCGGAAAGGATGGGCTTTCAAAGAAGCCTACGTCAAGAAGGTCATGGTGAACAACTTTGATCCCGACCACACCTTTCACCTTGTAAGGAGCACGTGTGCACCGTCTATGAAGCCGGGACATTACAGGCAACTGATATCGCTTTCCAGGAGCGCCGATATCGTTCAAGCGTCTTGTGACTGCGTTGCAGTGTGAGTTTATTTCTTCGGTAAAACCCGTGGCGATGTAATAATGTGTCTTAAGGATTACAAGATGTGTCAATATTTGTTAGGCGTGAGCCCCATAGTCGCTATCCTTTCGGCAGATTTGTATCAAGATCCGTGTGTGCCAGCCCTTTGATCATATTGTATGTGTGACGCGATAAGTTATCTAAAAAAAACAAAAAAAGACAAGATTTGTCGTTTTCGTCTTTTTTGTGGTACTTCAGCATGCAACTAAAAAGGGCCAAGCTATGTCATCATTCTACTTATCGAACTAGGTGACATGTTGATATAAAATTCTGTAGTAGGACATTTTTTTATTCAATATTTTAATGAGTTTCAAGCGTAAATATATACTTTGCAGGTTGAGCGGAACATGCCAGCACATTGCTGGCCTGCTCTTTACACTTTGCGACAGTGTAAAGATCTGTTTTCCGTGACAACGGCTTGGCGTCCCGCCTCTTTGCTGCCCTGCTGTACCGTGCAAGCAAACTCGGTGCGGAGGCAGGTGTCGGCTTCTATGTAAGCAAAGAAGGAACGAAGTCTGGGTGATTCTGGTCTCCTGAAGATACCCCAGCGTCGTAAAAATCAGGAACAAAAACCTTGCTATGAATGACTAGCCTGCACGGAGTATGACGGGTATATCTTGAGTTCAAACAAATATGAATGAACTAACCTCCAATGAAGTGGATGCTGCAAACACGCGATTTCGCAGATGGCTGCCAAGGCGTCCCGTCGGAGTTCTCGCGTCGCAGCGCTTGAATCCATTTTTCTCTCTTCTTGAGGTGCGCGGTAGCTTTCGGGAATCTAAAGAAGCTCACGTTCGGCGTGTTTTTCTCGCTGTTTGTACATCCAACAGCCGAGCAGCGGTGAGGCATCGCGACAGTGCCGGACAGACGCGCCTAGCAATGCGAGCGAAGCCAGGCAGCGTACGCGGAGAGCCCGCAAAGATGGCGCCTTTCCCTTTCCTACTCTCTCCTCAAGTTCGGGCACGCGCACAAAATTCTCCGAAAAAGGTCAATTGATTGGAATGGTCTTTCCCAAAATGTTGTCCATACCCATGACACTAGTAAACATAAACAGCATACATGATATCGTAAACTGAATTCCTTAGGTCAGTAAATTTTTTTTTTTTTCAAAAGCTTCTGCACATGTTTCATACTTAACCTTCTTTTGTCTGCTTACCCATCTCTTATGTAATATACCTGGTGGCAGGCACATAGCCAGGATTTTGTTTTGGGGGGGGGGGGGCCGCCCATGACAAAATGTTGTATGAGGGGGAGGGGGAGAGGAGGACCAAGCAAAATGGAAGATTTGGGGGGGGGGGGGCCTTATGGAACCCCCCCCCCCTGGCTACGTGCCTGCCTAGGGACTAAGTAATTTTTCGTGTTTATAGTTATAAAACCATAGCTTTGTCCCACACAGTACTGACCAACTTCAATTCTAACAGATATCTTGCCACACAAATAAATAAGCCGGCAATAAACCAATTATACTGACATGCGGGGAAGTGTAGAAAGGTCGAAGCGGAAGGTGTATTAATGAAAGAACATTGTTTTTGCAATCCACAACACAAGGGCATCTGCTTTTGCACTCACAATTGCCAATGTTACTGTATATTTGGTAACACTCAGATCCTTGACAGGGGAAAAGATCAACCTGCTAGGGAAGTGCTAGATGCCTTTGACATAACGTAAGGCACAGATAGTTGCATTAGTTAAACCCAGGGTGTAAGATAGACAGGTGGTGAAACGAGAGCCAAATGAGCGACCGGACTGTGTCCCCCTCGATTTTCTCTTTTTCTGTGGCGCCATCTATGTTGAGCACTGCGAACTCTCGCTCCAGGTGGGCGAACGCTGGCGACCGGTTAAACTGATGGAGAAGGTTTCTCGTGGATTTTCAATGGAGGACTGTCATGCTCTCAGTTTATTTTGCGCACTCTCCCATAGAGTTGCATGCAAAATCGATTTCAATTTTTTTCTTCTCGCCGCAGCGCCATCTGTCGCAAATCGGGGGTACCCGCAAGCCACCCGCAAGCAGACGAGTACACAATCCGGTCACGGCACTGCGGTAGGTTTCTATGGGCCGTTTCCCCACCTGTCTATCTTACACCCTGGTTAAACCTCAGTTTACAAAAAAAAAAAAAAGGAAAAAAAATATTTTGGTATTCAATGAATCAGGATTCGTGTGATCTACAGTCTCATGTATGTTGCTTCTTTTTTTTTTGTGTGTGTATTTATTGTGATTTTTGGCAAAGGTGGTGGACGGAAGCAACAAACAAAAAGGGAAGAAGTAGACAAAGACGTGGCAGCACGTTTTTGCCTACTTCTTCATCCCTGTTTGTTCGGCGCTTCCGTCCAACAATGTACCAACTAGCCCATCTTTCAATCCTAATACAGAGATCGTGGTTGTCGCTGAGCTTAATTTTTGCAATAACCTTTCAGTTGTCAGTCCAGCGCTGGTCCCGTGTACTCCTTTCGCTTATCTTTGTGTTCTGTTGCATTGTTATTAGTACTACACACTAGTGGAAGAGAACAAAAGGTGCATTGGCACATTCCCTTCTGCAGTCTACGCCAAGATCGACTCTGACATTAGGTCTTTTCTCTTCGATTACCAGCAGAAGTTTATTTCCGCTACTTCTGCTCATTTTAGTGTGCTATGCATTGTAATAAAAATATGTAAAAGAAATGGGTACCACAATGAGTTTTTCACAAATTAATATGGAGATTCCACGGATAAAAATTAATAATTTCTAGTATGCTGCAATATTTTGTTTTGGTTAATGCCTTAAAAATAAAACAACAGTGTCGCTTTTGTGCCACGAGTAAAACGTTGGCTAAAAATAAAGCATTTTTTTCAGATCACTGTTTTATCCTTCGTTCAAGCTCCACTGCTTTTGCAAAATGGCAGAGGTACCTATCGTGCAATTGCTAGATTGACTTCAAAGAAAATACCCTGCACTGATGTCAGTACATTCACCATGGTCTTGGAATATTCCTGTGAAAAGTGTTTACCAGTAGAGAAAAAGTATGATTGTCTCCAATTTTACAGAATGCCTGAAGTAGTAAGATAGGGTTAGTGTTTAGACTTGCTACCACAGCAACACACACAGCGAGGAGGTATTAAATGTAGGCTGTGTCTACAGTGCCGTCCGACAACACTCCACTCGCGCCTTCAAGTGCCGTCCGAAAGAGAGTCGGACGGCGCACGTATCACTGGGAAGCTCGTTAACCCCCCCCCCCCCCCCCCCCGACTGCGTTCGTGCCGTTTTGCAATGACAGTATGCGGCTGATAATTACAAAATTATTAACCAACTTGGCCCCGTCGTGCACACCGTTTCGCGGCGTCCAGCCGGCAACCCAAGCCCCGCTGTCCCCCATGCACCCCCAGTAAGGGAGTCCCATACCATTTTGTTCAGCAAAGTTTCATCAACATTTTTTTTTTTTTTTTCAGTGTTAATCGTAAAAAATAAATGTCATAGATATCGTGAAATGCCTCAACAAAGCAAAATGTTTGAGAAAAAAAAAGCAAGCCCTCACTGTGGACGAAACCCGGGTCCGCTGCATATGAGGCAGACACTTTACCACTAAACTACGCTACAGCTTCGAAGAGCTCGTTTTGACAATTCGCTTTATACGAGACTTTCGGACTTTTGGACGGCACTTGAAGGCATGAGTGGAGTGCAGTCCGACCGCACTTGAACGCTCTACAAGAGTACAGTCATAGGGCACTTGAACGCTCTGCAAGGGTGCCGTCGGACGGTACTCTGGACACGTTTTTTAAACGTAAGCCATGCATGCACAAGATGTATTTCCGTCATATTTGAGTTTCAAGTAGTGTATAGTGATAGTAAACCAAGCAGTAACTGTTTTAAGACTTAAAACCTGTCAGTATAAACAAACAAATAAATAAATAAATAAAAAAAAACGAGCCAGGCTTTAGTACTTGCAACGCGATCGCTTACTGTGGGCTTTGGTGAAGCTGCAAAGCAAAAAAAAAATAAATAAATAAATAAATAAATAAAAAAAAATAAAACATGCGTACAAAGAATGTGCGGACTTGAAACGCGTCATTGGTTCTAGCTTATTGCTGTTGGGAACCTTCCTTGAAAGAAGAATATAAAAAAAGGGAAGATACTGGATTTCACCTTGTCGCGAAAGAGTTCTGAAGATTAGACGAGTGGCGAGAGAGACAAAAGGGGGTTTGGAGAGAGGGAGGGTAGGGATATTGCACTCCTTGTGGACCCATTAAGCCTACAGGTGAATCGGATGACACTGAGTAAGCGGGCAGCTGACGCTCGAAATAAGTAGTATGAGCGTTTAAGAAAAACGACGGTCAAACTCTTAGCCCTCCACCGCGTAAAACACGGGCGAGGCACTCTGGAAGGCACTGGGTGAGAACGCACAACGATCACCGTGGGTCATTGACTGGGCAGGGGCCCCCCTTCTTTCACGAGGGGCGTTTCGCGCGCTGTCAGCCAAACTCACCCAGAAGATGACGTTGAAGCCAAAAATGAGGTACTTCAAGCAGCAACTTATTTCACTTTTGTCGCGCCTATGTTTTCTTACGGGCATTCTGTTGCCGTAGCGCTCGACTTCCTCCCCATACGGAGCCATTTTTGTTGCAACTGTTTCCCAGCGTTGACCGACTTTGTTATGGATTTAACGTTGGCCGAATGCGGCGGATGTCAGTTACCTAAGAAAAAAAGTACATGCCATGTATGGTTAATAAAATTTTACTATACAAATAAAACGCATAAAAAACAAAGATTTTTTTAAATTTAGTTATTTTTTAATTATGCATGGACTTGGTTTTGGCATTTTGCCTTGTGTACGACGCTCCGCGCGGCTAAGGCAAAAATCTGGACGGCCGATTGCGGTATTCTGCACTCTTTAAACATGGCAGCGTTTTCAGACGCTTTGCTGTTGACTTCGGGCTTTCTTTTGCGTCTGGCACTCATTTACACTTCGATCGGCAAGCGGATCTCAGACAGAGTCGAAGTGTCCACGCCGCTCAACTCATGGAGACGGGTCACCGAAGGCCTGTACCTCCAGCGGATGCAGATGTCCCCTTACGACGGGGACGTCTTCCATGAACCTCCGCTGTCACTGGCCCTCTACGACGGCCTCACCAGGGCGCTGGGAGATCACTACCTGCCGCTCTTCTTCGTCATATGTGACCTGGTGACCGCCCTGCTCCTGTCGGGCGCAGCCAAGAAAGGTATGCAGTTCATGGTGGCCCAAGAAAACCAGATCGGAAAGGCTAAGAGCGCCGAGTACATGCGTCTGACGGAGAAGTCGGTGCCGTCCGTTCCCAAGCTCGTACTGGCCGTCTACCTGTTGTCCCCGTACAGCCTCTTAAACTGCGTGGGAATGGCAACCACGACCTTCTCCAACCTCCTGCTGGCGGCGTTCCTTCTGGCTATGGTTCGTGGCCGCTGGCTCCTGGCGTCGGTGGTTCTGGCGCTGGAAGCCTACAAGTCCTTCTATTCTGTGATGCTTCTGGTGCCGGCCCTGCTCTACTTCGTCCAGGCACACCGAGGCACGGGTCGGGTATTCGTTCCGGCACTGGCGGCGGTTGCCGCCTTCGTGACCACTCTGGGCTCCCTCCTCTACGCGTCGTTTCTCGCCACGGGCTCCTGGAAGTTCCTGCGGTCCACCTACGGCTGCATCTGCTGGGTTCCGGACCTGACGCCCAACATCGGCCTCTTCTGGTACTTTTTCACCGAAGTGTTCGAGCACTTCCGGGCTTTCTTCCTCTGGATCTTCCAGCTCAACGCCTTCGTCTACATCCTACCGCTCGCCATCAGGCTGAGGAAGGAACCGCTTCTGCTGCTGTTCATCATCGCAGCGCTCACAGCGGTCTTCAAGTCTTACCCGAGCGTGGGCGACGTGGCGCTTTACACGGCCTTGCTGCCCATGTGGAGGCACGTCTTTCCTTACATGAAGCAGTACTTCTTGGTCGCCTGCGTGTTTGTGGCGTGCACGGCGCTTGCACCACTCCTCTGGCACCTTTGGATCTACTCGAGCAGTGCCAATGCCAACTTCTATTTCGGCATCACACTTGCGTTTAACACGGGGCAGATATTTCTCATCACGGATCTGCTGTTTGCCCACGTCAAGCGCAGGTTTTACCTCGAAAACGGGGATCCCAAGGAGATAGAGGCCAAAAACTTGAGGCTTGAGCTACACTAGGTGCTCCCGTGCACTTACCTTGGACCCAGTTGTGACTCGGGTGCTGTGGAACTGTGCCAGGACATTTTGCCAGGGGCCCCAACTGGAGGTCACAGCATAAACATTCCAGTGTGGGGACCATATCATAAGAAAGATTAAGCCTTGGAACAAGGACTTTTTTTTTTTTTTTTTTTTGAGAACTTTTTGAGGATTGTGGCCCAAACCTGCATTATTTAGTTGGTTGCTTAATTCAATCCAAATATATTTCAGAAGCAGGGAAACTAAAGTCAAAGCAAATGTCAAGTACTAGCATTCTCCCCAGTGTGTTGTGATGAAGTAGGAGATAGTAGAAGGTTATTGGACCCTTGTAAATTACTGTGCACCCATTAGCCATGGGGGAGCTCTGTAAACAAGGTGGAACTGGTTCTTTGAAGCTTCGTCAGATATATTCAGCTGAGCAGAGTTTTAGTAGTAGTGTCTTTATTTCAGATAAAACCGGGGGATGCTTAAAAATCTGCTTGTATATCTCCTTCTTTGTTAAATGACAAGCATTGACACAGAGGAAATGTGTTGTGAGAGCATTGCACATGCTGTAAAAAACGAACAGAATATTTTCAGCATTTCAAGTAATTTCTGAGAGGTCAAACAAGACAGTAGAGAGTGCATATTTTTACCATCTGCATACATTACCAAATCAGTATGCCGAACCCTTGCTCCTCAGATTCAAGGAAAAGGTTTGAGAGGTTTAAAGATGAGATTGGGTTCAGGGTCTTCAAACAAGCAGCTCAAATATCTGAGTGGAGTAACAAAGGATTCTTTCAAATTAGAAATATACTGAAGCAATGGTGAGGGTGCCGGCTAGCTGGTGTAAATTGAGTATCACCTTTTGGCAGTATGTTCCCCATTTTATTGCTGCTCAGATGAATGCATTCAATACAGTTGTAGGCATCATTGAGTGCTGTAAAGAATGTGAGGGGCCTAGACTCTTTATGGCCCTATGGCTAGTTGGTAGATGACTGTATGCACCACATTGTGTTGTGATCAAATAAAACATGTCTACAAGAATTCATTTTTTGGACAGTTCAATTGAACTGAGAGGAAGTTACAGCCATGCATGCTGTAATTATGCCATTTTATATAAATCAGTTTTTTGTGTGTTTTTTTTTGGTAGGCTTCTATGAACTTTGAGCAACTTAAACTCAGGCTACATCTTACTTTGGAGATTTCAGCAGTGACTTAGTAACGTCCCAGTCACGTGGGGGGTGTGACACCTTGGTGACACCCGGCAGGGGCAGAGGTGGCACATCTTTGCCGGGTGCCGCCTCTGGATGGCGCAAGTAAACGTCTAATTCACGTTCAATAGAGGTATTTTCTGGATCTTTTCGAAGCACTTTTGCCGCCCCTGCCAACGTGTGAGGAGGACTTCGAGGAGGAGGAGGAGAACGTTGATAAAATTTGCGCCGACTTTCGACCGGACAAACGTTACGACGTTACCTTTCGGCTCTGACTTTCGGTTGACTGGTTCAGGACGGCGAGTACGGTAAATACAAATATAGAAAAAAAAAAACAATATAATAATAGTAGTAATCTGGCACAGTTCTGAGCGGTTCTGGGCATAGTCTGAAGGTCGTGAATTTATATAGCGTTTCGTTGCTGCTGCGACTTCTGTGCTCGCTGTGCTGTTGCATCAGCGACACACAACTTTACCTTGTCGCCAGACAAAATTCGGTGTTTGTCGTTCTAGTGGGACGAGGCTATTACGCGCACAAGCACGCAGCTGTTCGCTTATCGTCGGCGCTTATCTTGTCCACTACATCTTACTCATGTTCTACCTCAAACTCGATGGCCGTCCTTGGCCTCAGTTCCCTGGCCCTCGTCAAGCCCAGCGGCCCAGTGATCGTGCTTTCCGCCTCGCCTTCATCTACAGATGCCCCTCCTTCCTCCCCCCTCCGTCAAGTCGGCCAAGGCAACCAAGGCCGTGCCAGATATCGCAGATCTGAGATCCAGCCCGCTGATCACGGACAAGTCTTCCCTCCGAGAGGATGAAGCTCCGGGACTACCAGCGGATGATCTTCGTTGCCCTGTTCCTGGGCTACGCCTGCTACAGCTACAACCGCAAGAGCGTGTCCTTCGCGCTGCCCGCACTGACGGCGGAAGGACTGAGCAAAGAGCAGGCAGGTGCGATCTGGGGATTTCACTCTGGGCATTTAATCATGCATGGCTTCTGGGATCCGAGTCCAAAAAATCTACGCGCACGTGGCCTTCGCGCCGCGTGTGTCAGGATTTCGGAGCCCATCAACCCCTGTCATGTCGCACGTTTCGGCCGCGAGGCCGCGGCAGTTTTCGCTGCATACTTGGATAGGCGGCAGCCTCATGCTCATCTCCTTTTCGTTTTTTTCCACTAAGTGGCGCCGCCTTCTTTGGCGGTGAATCTTTGATTTCAATGCTGCTTTTTTTTTAACATATGTCCGACGGCACTCTTGCTGGTCGTTCAAGTGTCGTCCAATGTCACTCCACCTACGCCTTCAAGTGCCGTTCGAAAGTCTCGTATAAAGAGAATTGTCAAAACGAGTTTTTCGGTGGTAAGATGCCTGTTTCATACGCTGCAAACCCGTGTTTAATCCCCTGTGTGGGCTTACCTTTTTTTTCTTTTTTTCTCCAATATTTTGCTTTGTCGAGGTATTTGGTAATATTTACGACATTTCTTTTTTAAGATTAACACTGAAAAAAACTAATGTTGACGACGAAACTTCGCTGAACAAAATGGTATGGGATTCCTTTTCCGGAGGTGCATGGGGGACAGCGGGGCTTGGGTTGCCGACAGGACGTCGAGAAGCGGCGTGTACGACAGTGTCAAGTGGGTTAATAGTTTTGTAATTAGCAGCTGCATACTGTCGCTGCGAAGCGGCGTGAACTAGAGTTGCGCTTTCAGCCTTGGCGGGTGGCCGTAACGTCGGCTTTCCTGCACGCCCTAAATGCTTTGCTCCTCACGTGACTAAATTTGACGAATAGCGGCGCCGCCGCACATGGAAAACATAAGAGGAGGAGAAGGAGGCGAAAGCAGGGGAACATACTCCAGGGCGCGAGCAACGTCGGCGGAGCGACTGTAAAGGTGGCTTTCTTGCACGGCACCGGATGCTTTGCTCCTCACGTGATGGGTCTCGGTGAATAGCGGCGTGGCGGTGCGGGGAATACAAATGCGCAACTTTGCTCCTCCTTTGGGGGAGCATATCGAGGAACCCCAGCGTGAACGTAGGTGGGGGTGTGGGTTAACGAGCTCCCCAGTGATACATGCGCCGTCCGACTTCCTTTCGGACGGCACTCGTGGGCGCGAGTAGTGTGCCGTCAGACGGTACTGTTGACACATAGTTTTTTTTAAAGGTTTCGGCAGTGTACAATGGGTAGCAATAGGAGTGAGAATGCTCCGACGGCGACCAGGCACTACAGACACTGCAGTCTAGCAGACAGCGAGGGGAGGGTCAGAACGGCAGTGTGGTTGTTTAAATATGTCTACTCAACTGCTGCTTGCGATACCTCCCCATCTTGGATGCACGCACGTCCCAGGCGAAAATTTCTAACTGGGACCAGTTTGCACCTCAACTGGTTTCAACTGGGACTAACTGGTCCCAACTGGGAATCAACTGGGACCAATAGGAGTCCAACTGGGGCCAGCTGAGGGGTCAACTGGTTTCAACCATTCCCAGTTGGGAGTCAACTGGTTTGACTCCCAGTTGGGAATGGAGTGCACTGGAACCAGTTAGGAAAGTAACTGGTTGGAGCTATTCCCAGTCGGACTTCAAATGCCTTTCCCGTTCCCAGTTCACACTGGGCAACAATTTGGACAAGTTGGGGGTGTATTGACATTTGCTAATGAAGAAAACTAAAAGCACTTAACATTTTAGATTTATACAAATAGGAAATTTTTAATTACTGGGGTACATTTATATATTTATAAAAATAATATAAAAATTTTAATTAACTAAATCATTTTTTAATTGGAAAATATAATTAGTGACAAAATGTGTTCACCTAAATGAACATTTAGTGAATTATTAAGATATTAAAACATTTATTTAAATACCTACAGTATTTTTTTTTCTTTTAATAAATAAATTTATCTTTTGACTAATCAGAGCTAGCCGGCCGCCGTGGCACGCGGGTGCGGATTAGTGGTACGCGCTGTCGCCAGATGGCGCTGCCTATGCTGACGCCGGAGTCGGACGGACGCGGTAGAGAAGGGTCGCCATTGCCCAAGTTGGCGTCGTTATGAAAATGTCAAAACTACAGCTGCGCTTCTTTTGACCTAACTGTACACACACCACGGTGGCTGCGGTGAACTTCGAGGATGGAAAGATGCAGTTCAGCGATCGGAGGGCACCCAGGAAAGACCGGACGGAAGAGAACATGCCGCGGAGAGCACACTGGCGAAAATGGCGGGAGGTCTACCTCGAAAATGTTCGACTGTTGTGACAGAGATTGCAAGGTGGGAGCGCTACCGCATCTTATCAGGACTTCACCTGCGCAACGCAGGATCACGGGTGAGCACCTTTCTTCACGCGATGGGAAGAGAAGCTGAGGACGTCTTCACTAACAGACGCCAGCGGCCGGTCTTCCTTCATCTCACGAATACCACCTCTGAAAAAGCGATTCAACCGTCGCAAGCAAGTGGCTAAACCCGGAGCGTGTACGTCACCGAACCTATTTAGTTTCATTCTCCAAGTTTTTGACAATAAAGTCTTGTCAACCTTCCATTTTGTGCCGTGTTTCATTGTTGCTGGAGTTGGTACCAACTCGAACTGGGACCAGTTGTAACTGGGACCAATTCCAGCTGGGACCAACTCCAACTGGGACCAGTTGCAACTGGGAATTGTTCCATAAACCAGTTGCAACTGGGACCAACTGGTCCCAGTTGGAGTTGGTCCCAGCTGGAATTGGTCCCAGTTACAACTGGTCCCAGTTGGAGTTGGTCCCAGTTACCGCTGGTACCAACTCCAGCAACAACGAAACACGGCACAAAATGGAAGGTTGACAAGACTTTATTGTCAAAAACTTGAAGAATGAAACTAAATAATAGGTTCGGTGACATACACGCTCCGGGTTTAGCCACTTGCTCGCGACGGTTGAATCGCTTTTTCAGAGGTAGTATTTGTGAGATGAAGGAAGATCGGCCGCTGGCGTCTGTTAGTGAAGACGTCCTCAGCTTCTCTCCCCATCGCGTGAAGAAAGGGGCTCACCCGTGATCCCGCGTTGCGCAGGTAAAGTTCTGATAGGATCCGGTAGTGCTCCCACCTTGCAATCTCTGTCACAACAGTCGAACATTTTCGAGGTAGACCTCCCGCCATTTTTGCCATTGTGCTCTCCGCGGCGTTTTCTTCCGTGCGGTCTATGTGCGTCCATTCTTTCCTGGGTGCCCTCCGATCGCTGAACTGCATATTTCCATCCCCAAAGTTCACCGCCGCCACCATGGTGTGTGTACAGTTAGGTCCAAAGAAGCGCAGCTGTAGTTTTGACATTTTCATAACGACGCCAGCTTCGGCGATGGCGACCCTTCTCTACCGCGTTCCGTCCGACTCCGGCGTCAGCACAGGCAGAGCCATCTGTCGACAGCGCATACCACTAATCCGCACCCGCGTGCCACGGCGGCCGACTAGCTCTGATTGGCCAAAAGATAAATTTATTTATTAAAAGAAAAACATACTGTAGGGGTTTAAATAAATGTTTTAATACATTTTAATGATGCACTAAATGTTCATTTAGGTGAACACATTTCGTCACTAATTATATTTTCCAATTAAAAAAATTTATTTTGTTAATTAAAAATTTTATATTATTTTTATAAATATATAAAACTGTACCCAGTAATTAAAGATTTCCCTATTTGTATCAATCTAAAAATGTAAGTGTTTTTAGTTTTCTTCATTAGCAAAGGTCAATACACCCCCAACTTGTCAAAATTGTTGCCCCGTGTGAACTAGGAACGGGAAAGGCATTTGAAGTCCGACTGGGAATCGCTCCAACCAGTTGCTTTCCTAACTGGACCCAGTTCACTCCATTCCCAACTGGGAGTCAAACCAGTTGACTCTCAACTGGGAATGGTTCAAACCAGTTGACCCCTCAGCTGGTTCGAGTTGGACTCCTATTGGTCCCAGTTGATTCCCAGTTGGTACCAGTTAGTCCTAGGGAGCCTTCATGTGCGCTTTGCTAGGGTGATGCCACCCTTTGTAATACCACTCGCCGACAAACCAGCAGCCATTTTGTTCCTCGGCGATAATCCGTGGGGCTTATAACCCTCCCGGAAACAAGCACCTTATCTCAGAAGTTCAGAGCAGCGTTGTGGAACCCACGGAGGGAGGATTAGCATTTTCCCCCTCGGATGGGATTACCGATGGACACAAAGGCCACTTTCCGGCGCACGGGGAAACAATGAGAGGAACAAAATGGCGGTGGAAGAGGGTGTGGGAAAGGGAAACAGGCAGTTGGCATCACTCTATGCGAAGCGCACATGAAGGCACTCTAGTTAGTCCCAGTTGAAGCAGTTGAGGTTCCAACTGGTCCCAGTTAGAATTTTTCGCCTAGGACAGTAGCTGTGCGACAGCATGGGTTGTGCTGCCTGGTCGCCGTTTGTGCATTTTAGCTCATATCGCTAGCTGCTATATGTTTGTTAGGAGTACAGTGGTTTCCATACTGCTCATTAAAACTGTGTAGCCTCCCAAAAGGGAAGTCCAGTTCACGGCAGAGTTATTTTTTATTAATTTATTTTATTTTATAATATGTCCCTTTGTGCATAGTTCCCAAAAACAGCTGGGTTACTCCCGTCTGCTGTACTTGCCTTTGGGACACCTTACTGTCACGATCCTTCTAGAACGTGGACGAAGAGGGTCGAAGCACCCGCCGAAAAGAGACGACACACAGCCTGGTTGTGAGGGTGGACGATGACTGACTGGGGCGGCGTGCGCTCTACGGCGTTTATTCGGCACGGTGATCAATGTTGCCCGCCGAGCCTGGCGGCCACAGATGGGCGGACTGGAGGGGGTGCTACGTACTTGTTACATTCCTCCCCCCCAGTTTGTTTTTTCTAAAAACAAAATAAATAACTACACAACGCACACGGCCGACACCAACTCTGCGTCTGGTCGTGCAAAGTCCTGGCCGGTCGACGATGAAGGTCACCCCAGCGA